GTGGTCGTGCTGGGTGGTCGTGCTGGGTCGTCGCGCTGAGTGGTCGTGTTGGGTGGTCGGGCTGGGTGGTCGTGTCGAGTCGTCGTGCTGGTGGTCGTTTTGAGTGGTCGTTCTGAGTGGTCGTTCTGGGTGGTCGTGCTGGGTGGTCGTGCTGGGTGGTCGTGCTGGGTGGTGGTGGTCGTGCTCGGTGGTCTTGCTGGGTGGTCGGGCTGGTTGGTCGGGCTGGTCGGTCGTGCTGGGCGGTCGTGCTGGGCGGTCGTGCTGGGCGGTCGTTCTGAGTGGTTGTGCTGGGTGCTCGTGCTGGTGGTCGTGCTGGGTGGTCGTGCCGGATGGTTGTGCTGGGTGATCGTTCTGGGTGGTCGTTCTGGGCGGTCGTGCTGGGTTGTTGTGCTGGTAGTTTGCTGGCGTTCGTGCTGAGTAGTCGTGCTTTCTTGTCGGCGGCTCGCGAGGGGGGGGAATGAGAAAGAGAAGGCATTCTCAGAAGGCGGTCGGACTTCTCAGAAGCCCTCGCGCCTTCTGAGAAGTTTTCTGTGTCTTCGGGAAAAGCTTAGAACACTTGTCAGAAGGCTGGGGGGCCTCCGAGCATTCTGAGAGGGCCCGCCCCTTCTCACTTCCCGACCGGGCTCGTCGCCGAGGCTGGTCGTTTTGAGTCGTCATGCTGGGTGGTCGTGCCGAGTGGTCGTGGTGCTGGGTGGGCGTGCTGGGTAGTCGTGCTGGGTGGCCGTGCTGGTGGTCGTGCTGGGTGGTCGTGCTGGGGTCCTCCACAGGCTGCCGAGAAGTTTGTCACAAACTTATCAACAGCTTCTGGGGGGCTTCTGCAAGGCTTCTGGGAGACTTCGGAGAGGCCTCTGAGTCGGGCCCTTCCCTCCTAAGGGTGAAAGACCGCGTGGATTTTTTGGACCGACCTCTTGCTGCCGCGGTTCGACAAACGCCCATTCGTATGCTGATTATTTTCATGTTCTAAGTGCGATTGTCAACTCGTTCTGCGCGCGGGTGCATGGCACTTGCAACGAGAATGAAATATTTATGGCGCGTTCGAGCGAGAGTCGTTGGGCTCGGAACGCATTTGGACTTTGCAATATCGTTTGCGCTACGGCACGCCAAATCTTCTTTTTATTCGTCCTCATCTTCATCCGCCCCTCCATCATCATCATCATCATTATTCCTTCTCATTAATGCTCGTATTACTCATCACCCCCTTTATTATTATTCCCTTATCATTACTTCCCTTAAACTCTTATTATCCTTCCCCTTCTCCTGCCCCTGCAACCCTCCTCCGCAACCGCACTGGCCCAATATTTGTCATTGTGCTCCTCCGTCTGTCGGGCACTCATATGACGTGTTGTGAGGAGGTGCTTCGGTTTTGCCAGCCTTCGCGGGTGCTGTCTGGTTCGGAATACCACGCCGCTCATAAGTGCAGGGTTGTAACAGAGGATTTCCTCAAGCGAGAGTACCACAGGTTCCTCGGGAGACACGCTGATGATGAGATCTGCTTGTGGTGGAGCGCGGACACCACGCCTATCCAACATCGGAAAAGATTCGTTCTGAAATGGGAAGACTTCTCGATACGCCGGCAGGGCAAAGAAACCGGGGAGTACATGATCCAGAGGCTTTTTGCCCAGAGCAGGGGGCAGAGAGAGACGGTGTTGCTGTTGGAAGCACCCAGGACCACTGAGACAAAAACTGCTTGGACCCACGTGCAAGGCTGTCGGGAGATGGTGCCTTTCCCGCGCAGCCGCGGCCATAAGGGCCTCGAGCTTTTTTTCGTTGTGTCCGACCGCGCCGTCTTCACCGCCATATATAAGGACATTTGTTCGGTGTTGGCAATTGAGGATGTTAAGCTTGAGTCCAGCGTGGGCGAGGTCGAGGCAGAGGCTCTCAGGAAAACTCGCTTCGTCTTGGGACGTGGATGCTGCAACCACGACAATCACGGCGGCTTCAAGAAGTCTCTCAACGATTTCGTGCAAGATAAGGACCCCCCAAGCAATGACCCAAACAAGCAATGTCATGTAGCTTTCTGTTGAGCCCAAACGAACATAGTATATATATGTTCGTGATGTGTTCAGCATACGTGGTCTCATAGCTAAGTTGGCGCACTCTTGCACGCGAGAGCATGCAGCCGCGCAAACACAGTCATGAACACAACAATAATTCTTGACGCTTCGCGCATCCCCACCAGCCCATCCAGGAACGACGCCCAGGCGAGTTGAGGCCATCAGGGAAATGTGGGAGCAAAGCAGGGGATCGCCGAACTGTGCGAGGGAGGGAGGAGGAGAAGGAGGCCGGATGGATGGATGAGGGATTGGGTAGAAGGATGATGCATAGGATGAGGAGGAAGAGAAAGAGGAATATGAGGAGAAATATGAGCCGTCTTGGGCCCTCTGGAGCCGTCTTGGGGCCCTCTGGAGCCGCCTGGAGCTTTTTTGGGGCCCTCTGGAGCCGCCGCGGGGCCCTCCTGGGCCCCTCCGAAAGCCCCAAGACGGCTGCAAGAGCCCCCCCAGGAGGGCCCGACAACCTGTCACGAACAAGGCCCTTTTTCGTGACAAGTTGTCGGGCCCTCTTGGGGGGCTCTCGGGGCCTTCTGGGGGCCCTCTTGGAGCCCCAAGAGTGCTCCAAGAGGACCCCCAGGGGGCTCCAAGAGGGCCCCAAGAGGGCCCCAGGAGGGGACAAAAAACACCAGAAATTTAACAGAAACCGTTTCTGTGTTGGGAAGAAGTTTCTGTTAATGTTTTGTTGTTTTGTTTGCCCTCTTGGAGCCCTTTGGGGGCTCTCTTCGGGCCCTCTTGGGGCTCCAAAAGGGCCCCCGAATGAGTCCAAGAGGGCCCAAGTGGGTTCCAGGGGGGCTCCAAGAGCCCCCCAAGAGGGCCCAACAACCTGTCACGAACAAGACCCTTTTTCGTGACAGGTTGTTGGCCCTCCTGGGGGGCTCTTGGAGCCCTGGGGGGGGCCCGAAAGCTCCAGGAGGGCTCCAAGAAGTCCCCGAAGGCGGTGCAGGGGGGACTCGGGCAATGGAGGGCCCGCATTCATGCTGTTAGTTCTTTTTCCTCTATGGAGCAAATGCGTTGCACATTCGCGCACATTACGTTTCTTGTGTCGGGGGGGAGAAAGGGAGGGGAACGATGAGGGAACGGCGGGGGCACGCTTTCATGCAGCAGTCTTGCTATTTGTTTTGAGCCAGGAAACCCTCGCAATTGTTCAAGCATTGCCAGCTGAGGGCCACGGATGGTTTAAGGAATACACGGGGGAGTGACGGGGGTTCGCATCCATACGCCGACCCCCATATGGTGTTTTGGAGCAGGATATGCTCACATTTGTTCGGAAGCAACCTGCTCTGGTCCGGGGGGGGCTTGGGGGGAGAGGGGGGCTACGAGGGGGGATGGGTCACGGAACTCGGCAGTCACACAGCAGCTTTCCTTTATGTTTTGAAGCACGAAGCGCTCGCAACATGTTAAGTAGCAGTTGTCTGGGCACTGGGGGAGGGGCAAATGGGGGGAGCAGTCAACACGAGGAATCTGCGGCGGAAGAAAAGGAGGAGTGACGGGCGCGCGCGTTCACACGCCTACCTCCAATTGCGCTTTGGAGCAGGACGCGCTGGCATTATGTATGTACCGTTTCTGTTGTCCCGGGGGGGGGGGCATGGGAGGCTGGGTGTGGAGTTGGAAGGAGGTTGGATGGGCGGATGAAGGTATTCACAAACCGATTTTGATGCGTCCTGCGAAATACGATACGCTCGGAACTGTTCAACTAGGCTTTTTCTGGGCGTCAGGGGGGGGCAGCGGAAGATCAGGGACAACATAGTATCTGCGATTCGTTTTTGTCCCGCTGGCTGTTGTTGAGCCTGCGCTGCTGCATTGTGATCGTTTGAGCCATCTTGGGGCCATATTGTGCTCGAGCTCACGGCGCCATCTCCCATAAACTATGGATATCGTTGGGGAATATGCGGGGGCAGCTTTCTTGTATCATGTTTGGTTTTGACTGTATTCCTGACTTTTGATGCCTTCGGCAATATTGGAGGCCACCTTGTGCTCGAGCACACGGCGCCATGTCCAGCAGAGCTATTGCTTCCATGCAGAATTTCGGGGGTGCAGTTTTTTGTTCAGTTGTGGGTTTGCCTGCATCCCGGAATTACAGTATGTTTAGCAATATTGTAGGCCACCTTGTGCTCAAGTACAGCGGCGCCCTGATGGGCAGAGTTATTGATCCCATAAGGAAACGTGCGGGTAGCGTTTTAAAGTTTTTGTAATGGCTTCCCGCATTCATAATTTGTGATTGTATTGAGCCATATTGGAAGCCATCTTGTGCCATCGTTGGGCCCCCAGGAGGCTCACCAGAGGGCCCCGTGACGATGCAACAACAACTGGAAACTCTTCTGCTGCTGCAGCTGCTCCCCTTGCTCCTGCTCCCAGAATGCAGTACTCACGTTCCAGTTGATATGCTGTGCTAGTAGCGCGGGCCTGGTATCCATGGAGCTCAGACCGCACGAGTTTCTTTTCTTGTGCACTGCAGCTGGGGGGCCAGAAAGGCTCCTAGAGGGGCTCCAAGAGGGTTCGAAGAGGTGTCCCAGGGAACCCATGGTCCGACGTCTGGCGGAATTGGAACCGCTACCTCAGAATCCCCCTGTGGGGCCCTCTTGGGGGCTTCTGGGGGAACTCCCTGGCGGACCTGGAAGGGTGCAGAGGAAGCGAGCTGGGGGTCCAGGATAGCAACATGCATGTAGATGTTCGGCGGCATGCGTCCGTGATGATACCACCCTGATCGAAATCGCGTCCCGGACACCGTGAAAGATGTTTAAATTCAACCCAACTCTCCGGCTGCTTTGAAGGCCAGGTTGTTTTCTGGGGCTCGTTTGGGCGCCAATTCAATCTCACGCTTCTGGGTCATCCTTTTGGGGCGAGGAGACTATGCGAAATGCTTTCATTCGTATTGCATCATTGCGGAATGGGTATACGACACTGCGGAAACATCTTCCTTCCTGGTTGGACAAAGTGGTCAGGTACGAGGCTTGGGACGAGCCGTGGCGTCTCGAGCTCTGGCAGGTGCTGTTGAGGGACACCCAGTGGATCGAGCTCATCATGAAATTGCAGATACGGTTCCATGACGGGTATGTGAAAGTGTCACCGGAATTCCAGAAGGATCCTGACATCATGGACCAGATCCAACTTGTGTACTTGTACGTGTGGGCTTTTCGTGAGTTCAGCGACAGCCGTTGGATCACCCTTGGTTCGAGTCAGAGGACAATGTTGGCCGCAGAGTTGTTGGGGCTTTCGGCATACGTCGACTACTTATTGAACGATGTCAAGGTTAGTGGGTATTATCTCAAAGGGTTTCTTCGGAAAACGGACAAGGTGCTTCACATGACCGCCTTGGCGGCCACGTGTTCGTTCGCTAGTGACGAAACATTGGCAATGACACTGGAGGACGATAGGTTGATCATCCGCCTGCCTGAAATCGACCAGGCTGCCCTTAGTCAGCTCGAGTACGTATTCAGCATCAGCCAGCCTGTGTGGAACTACATGGGCAATGCATGCAAGAAGAGCGGTGGCGAGCTACGGAGCGAAAGCCTGCACGCATCTTTGGTGAGCTCTTGTTATTTCAACTGGAGGGTGAACGACTTGAGAAAACCGCCGTTCAGTTATTGCCGCGGAGATCTGGATGAGAATCTTGATGCAATTGCGAGGGGGCCAGTTCCTGATGACCCTTTCACTTTGCAGATGTACAATTTGCTCTCGCTGGACGGGTTCCCGAGGGAACAGCTCAAAACATTGCTTGAACTGCTTGGGAATTGTCCCCAGTCAAACATTACTGGTGAGCAAGGGCACGTAGGGGCTAGCATCGGCAAGAAACGGCACCCCACAACCGAACAAAAGATGCTACAGACACGTGCGCAATTGATCCAATTCAGACCTCTTTTGAACATGACTAAGGAAGAGAAGCTCAAAGACAGACTGCTGCGGCGAATCGACCGCATCGATCATTATAGCGCGGCGTCCTTTGGCGGGCGACAGGCGTGCGTGCAAGATCTGTCGAGGGTGTCAGCGACGATGAAGCGCATGGGTTGCGGGGTGGCGCCGGACGCCCAGCAAAGAATCGTTCAAAAGCATGGCGAGAAATGGAGTGAGATGTCAAAGAACCGCCGTGATAATTACGAGCGGCAGTCTTTCAAGCGGCAGCAGGAAAAGGTAGATGTTATCAACGAGGAGCGCGAGAAGCTGTTGATCGATTTGAATAAGGTCAGAGAGAAAACCAGACAGAAACTGGATGCCCGCGCTCCTTTCCGAGTTGGCTCCTGTCGTTTATCGGATGCGCAGAAAGAGAGTCTGGGCGCTTTGTATGCAGACGCGAGGTACACGCACGAATACGTATCCAGTCGCATCAGCGACGCTGAGAAGGACTTGGGGGAGCCGACGCAGCGCGAGTTATCCGTGTTCCGCATGGTCGAAGAGGAGCCCAAGGCGCGGCCACCGCATCCCCCATGGGTGGCCACGGTCTGCCGCAACAAAGATTTCTTCAAGCACTGCTCCCTGCGCTGGCCCGGGGAGCACGAAGCTCGCGTGGACAAGTTTATCTTTTCCATGGAGAACCCTTTCATCGTTGGTCTCCTCCGGCTGCAGGAGATTGACGTGGACCACGCCGCCAAATTCTTCGATGCTTTCCCAGACCAGGGCGCTGCGATGTGGAGGGAGAGTTACAGGCTCGACTTCGGCATGTGGTCTTACACAGAGGACCTGGGCGCAGTTCCTTTGGACCCGCCAGAGATTCTGCAGGACTGCGTGTGCCAGAGGCACGGGTTCATCACCTCGGATTCCGAATGGGTCACCATGGACTCGGTGATTGGTTTGTTGGACCAGGCAGGCGGGCCCCCCTTGCGCGAGGGCGCGGAAGGGAGTTCTCAACCGACCGAGCCGCCGCCTTGGGTGGACCTCCCGTGGCTCCTTGATGTGCTCCCCACCGGCGACCCCGACGCCGACCCCGCGGCAAAGGGCACCAAGAAGAGGAAACGAGCTTCCACTGGAGACGAGGGGGAGGAGGTGGACATCATGGACCTCGATATTTCGGCCGACGAGGTGTATGACATTCTCCATGCGCACCGGGATGCCTTTGCGCCTGCAGGGCCGGTTCCCAGGGAAACGCTAAAGAACATGTATGTGAATTGTCGGCGGGGTTTTGGTCGAGGCCCGAGGCGGCTTCATCCTCCCAGGGCGAGGGTTCCCCATCCCGACGTCGCGTCGCGCAGGTGCGAGCGCGTTGAGACACGTGGGGCTCATGTGGACCTCCGTCCGCGACGGTGTGGGTCATCCTCCCCTGCCCCTTCTGCGTCGCGTCCTGCGGCGTGCCCGTCTCCTCTCAGGCCTGCTCCGTCGTCCTCCTCAAACCTCATGGGGTGTTCGTCGTCGAGGGGCCCCCCGTCCTGCCCGGGCCTGCGTTCGTTGTCCCAGAGGCGCCTCCGCGCAGAGATTTCGTGGTCATCCTGCGGGGGGGCTTGGACACGAAGAAACGCAAGGGGGTCGAGTACGACGTGTGGAGGGCAAAGACTGGAAATGACAAGGGTAGGAAGTTCGCGGGGGACTTTGGCATCGGCCAGACCTGCGACTTCACCATCAGTATGTATGGCGACGAGGAGGCCCGCGCTCTGGCGGAGGCGTGGGTGCACAGAGTGGCGTAGTTCCACGACGAATGGGTTGCTGCGGGCAGCCCGCGGCCTCATACGTGGGGCGCTGTTGTGGCGGCTTACGTGGAGCCGGAGCAGGTGCGCGATATGGATGCGCCCGGCGCTCCGCCTGCCATGCTCGAGGGGCTGAGGCGGTTGCGTCGCGTCGTTCCTAGGAATTAGACCGATGCTCCAGTCGGTCGTCCCGGGCAGAAGCCGCCACAGCATCCGCGAAAGCACGGCCCACCGCAGCTGTGGAAAACACGGCGGAGAACCGCCACCTCAGGCTGCCTCTCGGAAGGCTCCCAAAGTTGTGGTGGACGACGACGCCCCCACTGTGGAGGGGGAGGCGGCGGCGGAGGCGGTCGAGAAACCTCGCCGCGTCCTTCGTCAAACCAGCACGGAGGAGGATGTGAAAAAGGCCGAGCGGGACAATTTCCCAGGGTACGAGCGCGACGATTTTCACCACAATATCGTTGATGGCAAGTCCCTCCACGAGGTGCTCACTCATGACGTCCATGCGATCCGCCATGGCCTCGAGGATGCTCCAGTCAGGGGCAAGCATTATTACAACGACATGCGTGCCAAGTTCCCCCTACAGGGTGGGATGGTCGACCAGCAGTTGTCCCCAGCCAATAAGAGCGACCAGAAGGACGCAGACTTGGACACCGCCCTGGAAGGGGTGGTGGCCCACGCGAAGTCGTGTGATCTCTTCAGCGACTGGCTGGAAACATCAGGGCCTCCGAACCAGTTGGTTTTCTCAACCGTCTGCAAAGCCATGCTCAAACACGTTAAACCCAACGGCGTGGAGAGGCAGGATGTGTGCATGCTCTTCTTCCGGTGGGTAAAGAAGCACGAATCCGAAACGAAGTACTCCGCTGAATTCGGCGTCATGCGGTCCTATTGCATTTGTGTATGCAACAAAGTCTTGACCCGGTACAAAAACAATGGCCAGGCTTCCAACGGATGGTGGGATGACTGGAAGGACGTGGGGGCGCTCCTTGTGCCGGAGGCGGCGTGCCAGCGCTGCATGGACAACCATCTGAAAACGTGGGACCACTTGGAGAGAGACCTCTTGGACGTCACAGGTGCGAACGATTTCGGGCGCAACCTATTCCACAAGCAGGCGACGAAACTCTACGCGGATCGACTGTCCATAGTAGCCGGCGACGTGGTGAAGAGCCACTTGCACGGCAAGGCGATCGGCCAGAGCTTGATCGACGCCGCCAAAGTCACGTTCGATCAGAAGATCAAGGGGATGGGCGCCAGCCCCGCAGCGACCTTCCTGGAGAAACCGTACAGGGCGGGGTACTGTGGCCTCCCGGTCCCGCTCCCGGCCATTTCGTACAACGACCAGTGGAGGCTTGAGGTCAATGGCCTGTGCAGGTCTGTCGGCGTCTTCACTGGCGTCGTGCCTGAGATCATGGGCGACGCAGGCGTCGAACAAAGCCGGCTGCTCAGGGTGGGGTGGGCGAGTCCAGAGTGGGCTTGGGGTCGCGTCGGCAGCGCCGGCGGGGGCAGGCGGGGGCGGCGGTGGGCACTGGCGGCCCCCCTTACAGCCATTTTCGAAACATGCGTGTTCCCAGTAGTATGTGATTGTGGAGTTACCCACAGGTGAGAAGAGCCTGTTCAAGGACTACAAACCCCCAGCGGGCACGACCGTTGAGGCGGCAGTCCTTCAGCCGAACAAGAAGTTCAGGACGTCTTTGCTCCAGAAGCTTGAGACTAAAGACCAGAAGAATAGCGATGAACTCAAAAATGTGTTGAAGAAGGACCAGAAATGGTTCAGGAGCGTGGACAAATGGAGCAAGATCGAGGAGGAGGCAATTAAGTTGATGAGCGGAGCCCCCGCTGCGACGGTGGTGAAGGACATGCTTCTTCAGCGCATCGCCCAGGGCGAGGGCGCCCAGTCGCCCCTCGACACGGCCGTGGCGAAGGTGAAAGAGATGGAGGACCATGCGATCATGGAGTTCGCAGGTGCAACTGCCAAGGATGCTTGGACGGAGGCATTCGGCATCCTGGAGGCGATCAAGGCCAAGCGGGTCCCCAAGATCCCCGTGGGCAACTCGCAGTACGTGGCCGACCTCTCCGACGCCGTCAGCAGGTTCTGCACGGCGGAGGTCGATGACCCAGACAGCGGCGGCACGAAGATCACCATTCGCGGCGCGGCTGCCGCGGACTGCCTCTTCACCAGGGTGCAGGAGAAGATGGAGGCGAATACGAAGATCCCCTATGCGGAGATCACCCCCCTGACGGTGTTCGGCTGGCTCCTCCAGCCGGAGAAGCGAGCGACGGTCTGGAAGTGGAGCCAGGAAGTCATGGCCAAGGTCGGCATGCAAGGCCCGGGGGCCAAAGGGGCCGGCGGCCTGGGCAAGGGCGGCAAGGCGTCCCAGGGAGCGAAGAAAGAGCAGACCAAAAAGGATGTCAAGGCGGCCGTTGCAGCGCTGTGGTCGTGAATACCTTGTGCCGTCTACCACCATCTTGGGCCGATGGCGGGCCCGTCTGCGACTCCTCCTGACGGGGGGGGCGGTAATTTCGAGAGCACTCGGCTGTGTGCCGATATTTTTTTGACGCGTGGCGCTTGCTTTCGCGAGCCCTCGTGTGCGTTTGATCTTCTCTTGACCTGGCCCGGAGCGGCGGGCCTGGATTCGTGACGAGCCACGGGCGTATCAACCACCTCGCGAGGGCGGAAAACACATCGAGATGGACAGGCGGAGGCCGCGGGCTTACTTGAGGCTGGGCCGTTGGATTCACCATATTATTGCGCATGTGTCTCCGATATGTCCCCCCACTCGCCTTTTCAGCAAAGCTCCCTCCTCCTCCTCTTTCTCCTCACCCTCCTAATTAACATAGCGTGGACCTGGGGGCCTGCTCAACCGCGCGGCCCCGAGATGTGGCCGCGGGCGTCGTCTGGGCGACACTCTAAAGAGCCCGCAGCTTTTCGCAGTGACCAGAGAAGAGGTACATAGTGCAAGCATTGTTTGGGGGAAAACGTGCATTCACATGAGCACGCGCACGGCCGTAGTGATACTCCATATTGTATTCGGAAACAAACCCTCTTTGCGTGGCCGCTGGGGTCGAGGCTGATTCGGCGTCGGTCGAAGGGAGTTGGCCTGGCCCTCGGGGGGAATGCATCAGGCTTCTGCCCCCCCCTACGGTCAAGGGGAGCGCAATATCGTCCCGCTGGCCTCGCTCGCCAGTGCTAGTCCGCCCCCCTGGGTGTCCGAGGGAGATCCGGCTCCTGCGCGAGATCTAGCCGATCTTCAGGGGGAAGCACCACCATCGCACTCCCTGCTGGAACGGGTGGGGGAGGAGATGGGGACAGGGGGAAAGGAAAGGGAGGTGGCGGGAGCGAGGAGGAGGACGAGGAGGGTCTCCTCCAGTTGCCCAGCGAGAATGGGCGACGACGTGGAGGCGCGCAGGCGGACGAGGCTTCCGCGCGTGCCGTAGTCGGGCAGGCGTTTGGAGTCCGGGCTCGAGCTGCGCGCCTCCTATGCGACCCCATCCTCGGGGAGGATAGCGAGGAGGAGGAGGGTGGATCGCGCGGGCGGGGGCGGGGGAGGGATAGGGTGGCGGAGGGGTGGGCGGGAAGAGTTCCGGTGGCGGCGGAGACGGGCAGGGCTGGGAGGGGAGGGGAAAGGACGACAAGGCGAACGGGTGAGGGACACGGGAATGGGGAGTGGTGGAGGAAGAGGGAAACGGAGGAGTGCGTGGGAGTCGAGTGGGGGGAGGTTTTGGGAGGGGGAAGGAGGAAAACGAGACGGGGAGGGAAACGGAAGGGGAGGAGGAGGAGGAGGAACGGCGGAGGATTTTTTGGTAGCGCAACAGTCAGCCGAAACAGGCTGTCGCGCATCCACGCGGTTCAAGGCTCCAGACCCGTGCGGGCCATTCATGCCGTGCTGGCAGCCTGCAGCGGCCGTGAGAAAAATTAACACTTTTGGTACCGAAAGTCTTTGCGCAATGATATTCAGCCCTTCTTGCGAAACGATCGGATTGTTGTAGCTGCTTCGTAGCCCCCACGATCGGATTGTTCGACATTGCGCAGCAACGAACGGGTGAGACCATTACCGCCAATCCAATCTGCCACTGTGTGAATTGCACGCCCGTGAGGCCATAGCGAAGGAGGAGGATGACGACGACGAGGAGGAACAACATGTACTGACCGTCATGAGTGGTCCTCGTGCCGCTGAGACCTACCTGAAAGGTCCGCTGGACTTCTTGGAAGCACCGCCTTGTCCCCAAATACGCTACCGAACGAAATTCCTGCCAGCGCCTTCGATAACAGTGCCTGGTGCAAAACTAATGAATATGAGGATGGAGGTGCGCGAGGCCCGATACGGGCAGACCGACGGGGCTACGCGACTGTCTCCGCGCACGCAGTAGACAATACCAAGCCCGCATGAAACAGACTGTCCTGCGAACGTGGCCGGAACTCCCCCGCGAATCTCGGACAGCGTCCCCTGACGCTCCAGAGGACCACGGATCGGGGGGAAGAGGAGGAGGACGAAGACGATGGAGGAGATCCGAGGATTTTCACAATAGGGCTCAAAGCAGCTCTGAAATCGAACAATAGCCCTGCGCTCTAGCAGTACAGCAAATCCCACGGGGCGGCAAAGCGGGCACTCCTAGTGATACGATGAATCGGTGGAAACGCACCCGCGCCACATCGCGAGTAGGAGGAAGGAGAGGGAATATAAGAAACGGACGGAAGCACACATACAAAACAGAAAACGAGCATGCGCGCTCGCTAAGAATGCGCGCTCTGCCAAGAATGCGCGCTTGCGCCTGTAGATCCGAAAGCATGCGCGCGGTGCACGGCATGATTGCGAACCCTTGGACGTAAATTTCACAGCGAACTTCGCCGCCAAAATCGTCGCCGACCTTCTTAAGGCTCGGAGAGCATGACTCTGAGGGACATCCTGCAAACCACCCCTCTCCTCCCCGAAACTCGCCAAAAGGGTTTTCACGAGCCCCTAAGAGGCGTCCGAAAAGCTACCGAGGGGCTTGCTTCGCAGAGCCTGCCAGAGGTCATTTCTGAGGAGCTCGTTCGCTTGTCGGAAACTTCGCTGGATCTTTGCGCAAACTGTTGGACGGCTCCACTCGCTCAGAAGTAAATGTGCGTTATCTATTCATTAATCGATCCTGATCCCAGGCGGAAGACGGTGAAACCAGGTGGCAACTAAGCAACAATACTCCGGAGTAAAGCTTCCCGGGAGGTTGGAACTGGATCCCGCCCTGAATCCGCGAATTTACTCCCGAGTAGATTCACGGGCAAGGCTGGCCCTATCTGTCCTGGCTCCGCGAGTTTACTCCAGAGTACGAGCTCGAGAATGCTGGCCACACGTCCAGGGAGCAAACTATTTACTCTGGAGTAATATCTTTGCTTTCTGGAACGTGTCCCATTCTTCCTATGCGTTAACTCTGGAGTTAATCAATTCCGAAGCGGGAACAAGTTCTAACCTCCTTGAAGATTCACTCCAGAGTCATCTTTTAATTTCCTCCTGGTTTGATCCTCTTGCCTCCTCCTCCTCCTCCTTCTGCTCCTCCTCCTTCTGCTCCTCCTCCTCCTTCTCCCATGTCTTCCTCGCGTCGTGACAAATCTCAGAACGGGAGGTTTGTGGCCGTCTTCTGCCCCGAGGGGGCCCCCCGGCGGCCCTGGGGCCGTCAACAAAACACGACTCGGAAGGAAGATCCACGACTGGCCCTGGGAAAGGGTCGGGACTTCCAGGGGCCCCGTTTTGAACATTGATGACATCGCATGTCGGGATCTGACTGGCTCAGCGCTATGGTAGGAAATGAACGGGCCTGATCACCACGGCTTCATATGCGGAGGAAGATGAAGAGGAGGAAGAAGGGGGAGAAGAGTAGGATAAGGAGGAGGAGGAGCAGCAGGCAGCAGGATGAGGATCAGAAGAAGGATGATGGGATGAGGTGGATGAGGATGAAACGATGCTGATAGCGATGAGGATGAGGAAGGCGAGGAAGATAATGTGGAGGAGCTGGACCAGGATGACGAACAGGAGGATGCGGTACGCATGGAAACTCAGCATCGCCTTGAGAGGGATAGGAAGATCACATTAGCTCGGACTTGGATTGCAGTAGCTGGACATATTGTCGAGGGATTCGAGTCTGGCACCATGCCGAGCGCGCAGGCAACAAGCACATCGGAATTCCAGCCGGGCTGGAGCAAGCCAGATCTCACGCGTGAGTCACAGTCAGCGTTGTAGACATGATGCCCAGAGCTGACTGTGGACTCGAGGGTTTCGCAAGAGTGTAGTGCAGTTGGGATTCCGCTCACCCATCCCCTCCGCATGACCAGCCGAGGCTCCTGGGAAAACAAGACGCGGCTCATCGATCTGAAGACAGGCCGCTGCCTGAAAGACTTCCAGGAGTTCGCCACCAGGGTTCGCGCCCCGGCTTATGCTGCTTTTCGCCTGGGGTCAGGGGGGGGTCCATGGAGTCGGTTGAAAGGGGGTCATGGCAGAGAGGAGGAGGAGGAGGAGGCGGAGCAGGAGGATGAGGAGGAGGAGGAGGAGGATCAGGAGGAGGATGAAGAGGAGGAGGAGGAGAACGATGATGATGATGCTGCTGATGATGATGATGATGAAGATGATGATGATGCTGATGATGGCTATTATGATGGTGATGCTGAGGATGCTGATGATGATGAGGATGTTGATGATGATTATGCTGATGCTGCTGCTGATGCTGGTGATGCTGCTGATGATGCGGCTGATGAGTCTGATGATGCTGTTGATGATGCTGATGAGGATGATGTTGGTGGTGGTGGTGGCAGTGATGATGCTGGTGATGATGCTGCTGGTGATTCTAATAATGCTGACGATGATGATGCTGCTGACGGTGATGATGGTTGTGGTTGTGGCGGTGATGATGCTGACGATGAAGAGTATGATGATGCTGAGGGTTAGGGTGATGATGAGGCTGCTAGTACTGATGATGATGCTGAGGAGGATGTCCAAGAGTATGATGATGCTGATGATGGTTATGCTGATGATGATGCTGATGATGGTTATGCTGCTGATGATGATGATGATGATGCTGATGATGATGATGATGATGATGACTGTGGTGGTGGTGGTGGCGATGCTAATGCTGCTGACGGTGATGCTGCTGAGGCTGATGCTTATCATGATCGTGAGGAGGGTGATGATGAGAATGATGATGCTGACGAATGATGAGGCTGATGAGGATGATGATTCTGATGCTGATGACGGTGGTGGTGCCGATGCTGAGGCTGCTAATGATGATATGATGTTGATGCTGATGCTTATGCTGATGATTATGATGATGATGGTGGTGCTGATGCTGATGATTGTGATGATGATGATGATGATGACGATGCTGATGCTGATTATGCGTATGTTCATACTGATGGGGATGCTGCTGATGCTGATGATGCTGATGATGCCGATGCTGATGCCGATGATGCTGAT